ATGTATATTCACTTCTGAGAAACTATTGCAACAAAGCCCGCTTTCACGAGATATAATGTATTTAGAAAGTGCAATAAGTAACTGTATTTTATTTTAAACACAATATGATCGTTGACGGGGACCGAAAACGAGCGGCAATTAAGAAAATGTAACTTTTGAGTGTCAATTAGTCTTAACAGAGCGGATTTTTTCGTTCGAGTGCTCTTTGAAATAAACGAAAGTGGACTGTGATTGCCATTAAACTGTTATTAGCTGTTGCAGATKCACMATTTTGAATTTAAGYAGCATTTTAAGCAGTTTCTTYGTCTTGCTCCCAGAGTCTTCGCTACTGTAATTGTAGTCTCATTGTGATTTTTTCCTGCAAMATTTTCTGTAGAATTCCATATTGGCCGCGGAAAATRTGCCCCAGGAATGCAGGTTCGATCGACRATTTTTACGAAACTTTCTAAATCTATTGCGGCAAGTATCTTCTATAGATGGTGAAAATTGCAAAGTGTTTCTTGCATCAATTTCRAAGATACGATTTTTTAAAGAGGGAGCGCGGTTGAKTGCAAGCATYCATTTTCMGACMGGTATTTAYTGAGCTGGTAAAAATYGGGATTMYSGAAGATTTTTATGMAACTTTMCRWATCTACCGCSGGAGCTATCTTCTATAGATAGTAAAAATTTCAATGTGCTTCTTGCTGATACGAATTTTTAAAGAGGGAGCGCGGCTGAGTGCAAGCATCCATTTTCCGACCGGTATTTACTGACCTGGTAAAAATCGGGATTATTGAATGTTTTTATGAAACATTCTAAATCTATTGCATCTATCGATGGTGAAAATTTCAAAGTGCTTCTTGCATCAAYTTSGAAGATACGARTTTTTAAAGAGRGAGCGCGGTTGAGTKCAAGCATCCATTTTCCGACCGGTATTTATTGAGCTGGTAAAAATCGGAATTATCAAAGATTTTTATGCAACTTTACAAATCTACCGCGGGAAGTATCTTCTATAGATGGTGAAACTTTCAAAGTGCTTCTTGCATGAATTTGGAAGATACGAATTTTTAAAGAGGGAGCGCGGCTGAGTGCAAGCATTCATTTTCCTATCGGTATTTATTGAGCTGGTAAAAATCGGCATTATCGAAGATTTTTACGTAACTTTAAAAATCTACCGCCGGAAGTATTGTCTATAGAAGGTGAAAACTTCAAAATGCTCCTTGCTTCAATTTGGAAGATACGAGCTTTTAAAGAGGGAGCGCGGTTGAGTGCAAGCATCCATTTTCCGACCGGTATTTATTGAGCTGGTAAAAATCGGGATTATAGAAGATTTTTATGAAACTTTCTAGTTCTACGGCAACAAGTATCTTCTATACGTGCTGAAAATTTCAAAGTGCTTCTTGCATCCCTTTGGAAGATACGAATKTTTAAAGAAGGAGCGCAGTTGACTGCAAGCATCCATTTTAACACCTGTATTTACTGAGCTGGTAAAAATCCGTATTATCGAAGATTTTTATAAAACTTTCTAAATCTACCGCGACAAGTATCTTCTATCCGTGATGAAAATTGCAAAGTGCTTCTTGTGTCAATGTGGAAGATATGAATTTTTAAAGAGGGAGCGCGATTGAGTGCAAGCATCCATTTTCAGACCGGTATTTACTGAGCTGGTAAAAATCGGGTATATCAAAGATTTTTATGCAACTTTACAGATCTACCGCGGGAAATATCTTCTATAGAAGGTGAAAATTTCAAAGTGCTTCTTGCTTTAATTTGGAAGATATGAAGAATTTTTAACGGAAAGAGCGCAGTTGAGTGAAAACATCCACTTTCAGACTGGTATTTACTGAGCTGGCAAAAATAARGATTATACCACATTTTTATGAAAATGCCAGAACATATGGAAGGAAGTGTCTTCTAATGATAGAGGGCACGTGGAAAATGCTCCTTGAGTTAAATTGGAAGATACCATTTTTAAAGGAAAAAGCGAAATTGAGCGAAATCTCCATTTTAAGACCGGCGTTTACAAAGCTGGAATAAATCAGGATTTTGGGCGATTACTACGAAACGCTCAGAATCTATAGAGCTAAATTCCGCTTAAAGATAGTCAAAGTTTCTTATTGCTACGTCTTTTAATTTGGAAGATGTGAATTTTGTAACCAGAGAGTTCAGTTGGAGAAAAACACACAAATTTTTACGGCGAGTTTAAGCTCGCCAAGCTCGAAGAAAAATCAGAATTCTTTCCAATTTTTATGAAATTTTGTCTGTCTTTAGAGTGACGTGTCCTCTAAACACGATGAGAGTTTGAAATTCCTACTTGCTTTATTTTGGAAGTTACGAATTTTTACTTATTAGGGCGCAGTTGAGTCAATCCATCTATTTTGAGGCCGATATTTACAAAGCCGGCAAACGACAGTCAGGAAGTTGGGTGATTTTCAAGAAACTTTTGCATCTCTAGTTTAAACAATCTGCTAAATATGGTGAGAGTTTCATAGGACTGCTGGGTTCAGTTAGGAAGATTTGATTTTTTTAGGAAATAACACAGTTGAGTAAAAACATTCATTTTGAGACCGATGTTAACTGAACTAGCAAAAATGGAGATTTTGGGCGATTTTTATCAAACTTTTTACATCAGTAGAATCACTGATCTTCTCAGGATGGGGAGAATTTAAAATTCTTGTGCGTCCTGGTTTGGAAGTTACGAATATTTCTATGTGCAAGCTCAGTTGAGTGAATGCACCTATTTTGAGACTGATGCTTACAAAGCCGGCAAAAATCAGTATTAAGGGTGATTTTCGTGAGACTTGCAGACCGGATCTGAAGCTTGAAGCTTATGAAACGCGAGTGTTCAGCAAAATGCAAAAAATCGCGTGCACGAGTTTGGATCGAGCAAAGAAGTTCTATACAGAATAGCAAGAGAATGCAATGTTCAATGCGCTAAACACCTGATTATACCACAGAATATTTTAGCCGTCTTTTGCTTATTATTGTTTCACCGTTATATCCTTAAAATAGTTCCAATTGCTCCTGCTTCACCCTGTATAGTAATATAAAATGTTTCAACTGTTGTGCCACTGACGCTTGAACTTGCTGAATGATCGAAACACTTCTTGATGAAAAGCCACGTTGAATAACCGCCATTTGTCTAACACATGATGATGTAGAAGATGAAGATTGTTTGCGCTTCTTCAGGATCAAGGTTGGTCTGTTCACAAGGCACATAAAAACGCGATTCATTCCTAATCAACCGGCGACATTATGAGGTTTAACAACCTCATTAACCATCTCTTTATAGCGCCAAAGTTACATAAGTTCTTTGTATTAAGCGCGTATTTATTTCTTCAGTTTTAAAGAAACGGGTTCTGTTTTCACTGAAGTGTACGAAATTATTGAGTCGAAAATTTCAAGCGAGCAGGAATTTGCATGGATTTGGATGGCAAAAACTGATGCTTAAATTGTCGCGTTCGCTATTGAGTGCAAGAGCAAAATTGAGGATTTTTACTTGATTTTTTAAGACATAACCAGTCGATAGACAACATGCTGTCTTAACTAGGGCTAATTGTGGGAGAAATCTGCTTAATTATTATTATGCAATTTTTCCAGCTAAAAGCAATGGAAACCTGGCTTGAAGATGTTAAGAGGGTGCGCATCCCCAGGCCGAAATTCGGCAGCAGTGGCCGATTTTACGTCTACCCTCCAACCGAACCTCCGAAGGACTATTTTTACGAGGACACCCAGGATTTGAAGATGCGAACCTCCATTCATCAGGCATCTTCCAATTTGGCAAAAGCCACTGAGGAGCTTCGGAGGGCCTTTCGCGAAAAACTCTAAACACCAAGCTGTTAAGCATCAAAGCCTTAAGTTTTAGTCTAGAAAGGTAGTTTCCTCCAGGATCTGCTTCGGGAGTTAATGGGGACAACTAACCACGTAAAAGCCCAATTTTTTCAGTTAAATCGCAAAAATGCCTTCAACTTTGCATTTTACTGGCCAAAATCAACTACAGTTAATGTGGATAATTTCACGATCGGATTCGAATGAAATGGATTATCGCTGGACAATTGGCGATGTTTCATGCGTCCATTATTTGGCACCGATTTCACACTCTGGTTCGCGTCCAATATTCCCAATTTGACTCAGACCGTAAAACTTATCGAGCGATTTTCAGCGATTTATCGAGAACCCGACGATAAAAGGCATTGTAATTAATAATACGGTTGTGTAACAGACTTTTGTCGCTCGACAATCAGTTATGTTAACACGGTTTACTTAGTTAAGGTAAAAATGTAAATAGCTTTGTAAATAACTGTGATATTGTATTTTTAATGCGATAATCTTTAATGGAATTTAGTTTCGATCAAGCATGGGATTGGATGGAATTAAACAGGGTGATTCAAATTTGGTGTCCCGTTCCGGCAGCTGTTGTCTGAATCGGAGATATTTGCAAAAAACTCAATCAGAAGTTTGGCAACTATGTATTTGAACGCGCCTCAAACTTGCGATCCTTTAATTTGTTTGACGACTGTAGAAGCAATACTGATCAGTTCAGAGGAATTCAATCTTCAAATTGTTCTCGCTTTTCATAGAAAATTGAATCAATTAAAAGTTTTCCATAAGGAAGGTGAACTTGATGCATATTCGACATTGTTACACTTTTAAAGGTTTGAAGAAGACACTTTAAAAACTAACCCCAAATCCCTACGGTGTCACTCTCGCAGCGTTGCCAACAAATATCTGCACCAAAATATTTTGTTCCACTCTCTCCCAGTGGCGCCAACTTTGAATCACCCACGGTATAAAAAAAATTGTTTCGGTTAAGTATAATTTGACATACAAATGAAGAGTTTTTTGTTGTCCGAGAATTCTAAATAAAAGGGATTTTTCCACATAAAAAAATCCTTGTCATATAACTTGAGATGATGGAACAGTTTTTTGCAAGAACTTTGGTATATTTAAGCTCTATGCTCCAGAGGATTGCCTTTGACCATTAAGTAAGTGCAAGTAGGATTAAGAAACTTTCTACCGGATTTTTTATTACCTACTCATTGCATAAGCTATAGATAAGTTTTTTTTGGTTATACATATTTTTAGCTAGTTTTGTTTTTTATTTCGGCCACTGTGTTCACTCGACTACAGCTCAGCGGCATTGTGAAGACACATGGGCTTTAATAAATTTATTCTTAAAGTCCGAACCCCTAAAACTCTTGAACTTTTTCCTATATCCAGCAGGCGAAGCAACAAATCTTATGGAGATTCTCGAACGAAGTTCCGTTCATTCAACATTGATTACATTTGCTACACTAGCATCTACGGGCTAATAAACTAATAAACACAGCATTGATTATATGAAAAAAGGGGCCAGTTTCCTTCTAAATGCAATGGAAGTTTTGGTACAAATAAGTGTTAAAATTGGCTTACCGAATCAGTGTAATCCTCTTGATGGAGCTTAGTAGTGGACCCCGATCGAGATTCTCCGGGACTTGAATGTCTTCTACTGCCCACCGCTTGCTCTTCTTCACCGCCAACGAACTCCTGAGGAGAAAAATTATGAAATTTAAAAAGAATGAAAAATTTGTGGTTCTCTAAGGACTTTTTTTCTACGTTTCTTTGATATCGGATCATCCTCAAGGCCTTTGAAGCGCCAGCCAAAAAGGTGTTGATCTTATTGGCATCTTCCGCTGTGAAACATGCAGCACTTTAAAAATTATCAATATTTCTAAACTGGTGTTTTATGTTGTACTTGGTGTTTTTAATTCTCTACCCGATGGTAAAAACACCAAATTTATAGCTGAAACGGTTGTTGCGATATCTGCAAAAAACTGGTGCCATGTTTGCGATGATGCGCTAATTTTGATAAAATTGCGATGAATTTTTCGATTTTTGCGTAAAAACTGCCAAATATTCGTCATTATTATTTCACCCGTAAAATGTGCTCTTGCATGCTCTATCCAGCAGAGTAAAATAGGCTCGGCAGCAGAAGGATTTTTTTAGAAAAAATAATTTGCAACATAGTTTGAAAAACACGAATTGGTCAATCGATTTAAAAAAAATCGCCAATAGTCTCCAAATGCATGTAATGCTTTGAAACCAAGAGATTCTATTAAGAAAGTGATGGTTTTTTGAATGCACTAAAAAGTCACTAGCTCGAGAATTCCAGGTGAGCAAAATTCATTTTTGAAAAACATTAACCTGCAAACTGTTTCACTTGTAAAAGACCAGTGGGCAACTCCATTTTCAAAAATTCGTGATAAATTTCCAGCACCAGCTGTTGGGGTGAAACCTTCCGGGTATGTAGAGAAAATAACGCTTTATTGGACGGATTAAAAATCCACGCAGTAGAGACCACCATGTGAGAGAAAATAATTTTTACAATTTAGGTTGTGAAGTAACACAGACGAGTTGCAATTTCTTTTTGAAAAATTTGCCAAAAATCTTCTAAAGCCCAAAATGCCATGAAACCGTCGGAATGTATCAAGACAAAGATGGTTTTTTAATGCACTAAAAAGTCTACAGCAAGAAGATACCGGGTGAGCGAAATTTTTCAAGTCTGAAAAGGTTGTGTTTGTTGTGCAACTCCATTTTCAAAAATTCGTAGTAAGTTCACATAACGACGTTTAGCGATGAAACGTTTAGAATCTATTAGAAAAAGTCCAGTTAATTGAGTGGCATAATGATACATTTGCCTAAAGGAGACCAATACAGAGAACTTTAAGTTTTAAAACTGTCTTACTTGAAAAAAAACGAGGAGGTAACTCCAATTTCAAAAAATCGTCATTAATTCGCAAAATAAGTTGTTGGGATAAACGTATCCGCATCGATAGAGCAATGTATACTTTATTGAATAGTTTAAGAACCGACTCACTATAGGAGACCACATGAGAGAAAATTACTTTTTCAATTTAGGTTGTACACTGTATTCAAGCAATAAAGTCAAGAAAGGCGAGTCGGCACTCCATTTTCAAAAATTCCCTAAACATCTCCAAAAAAAAAAGACAGAAATCGATGAAACTATCGGAATATATTAAGGCATAGATGGTCTTTTGAAAGCACTAAAAAGTTACTAGCTAGAAAATGTCAGGACAGAAATATCAATTTTTGAACTTAGTCTGCAATGTGTGTTAGTTGAGAAAGACTGAGGAGTTGAAAATTGCATTTTAAAATATTCGTCATAAATTCCCGGAACTGCGCTTTACTATGAAAGTTTCGGGATTTTGCGAGCAAACTGTTCTGTTTTTAATTATGGAAAACCCAGTAGATAAAGAAAATTGCTTGAAGCGAAAAAAAATTTTCAAAATTAGCTTGCAAACTGTGCGGATTGAAAAAAACGTGTTGGCAACCACAGTTTATCAATAGATTCGAAAACCGTCCATTTCTATGAAGTTTTCCGAATACATACAAAAATGTGTGCTCTTTTGAACTTTCCAACAGCTAATAACTAAAAACCCCAGTAAAGACAAATTAATTCATCAAAATTAGCCCGAAATCTGTGGTCCTTGAGCATGCTGAGTTAGGAAATAATTTTCAAAAATTCCTCATAAAATCCCAAAATCTCTCATCCTTATGAAATCCTCAGCGCATGTAAATCAGTGTATGTTGGATCGAATTAGGTAACAATCCACTCGCTAAAAGAAAGTGCTAAAGATAAATTAAATTTTCAAATTTAGTCTGCAAACTGTATGTAATATGCGAAAATTACATTTTCAAAAAATTGCCATAAATGCCCAAAACCACCCATGGTATTTTGAATTAGGTAAAAAAACACTAGCTAGAAAAAATAATTTTTGGTAAATGAATGTTTCTAAATTACCATCGAAAACTGTGTTGTTTGAGTTGGCAACCATATTTCAAAAAATTCGTTAAAAATGACCAAAACCTCCTATCGGTATACAGCTCACAGTACATAAAAAAAGTTCGTTCTATTTAGTGGATTAAAAAGCAAATGGCTTAAAGAACAGAAAAACATAGTAAAAATTGGTTTGAAATATGTGGTTATTAAGAAAGACGAGTTGGCAGGTAAAAAAAATTGTTAAAAATTGCTAAATCCAGCTATGGCTCTGAAACTCTTAGAATAGAAAGAACAAATTGCGGTCTTTTGGATTGTGGCAAACTTCACCGGCTAAAAAAACTTCCTTGAGACAAAGGATGTTTTTGAAATTAGCTTGCAAAAGGTGTCTAGGAACGAGTTGGCAGCTTCATGTTTAAAAAATATCAAAAATTGTCAAAACCATTATCAAACGCTGGTAGTTTTTCAGATTACATAGAAAAAAGTCTTAAGAATATTGTAATAAAGTACACAACTTGCCAGAAATAAATTTGTAAAAAATTAGCCTGCGAACGGTGTTGCATGAAAAAGACTCTATATTTTCAAAAAATTGTTATAAATGCACAAAACTAGCGATGACTTTAAAATTATCTTAGTATTTAGAATAAAGTCCGCTCTATTAAAAGCATAAAAACGTCGGAAGCCAGACCAGATGGGTTTAGAAAAATTACGTTTTGAAAATTGTTGTTTGCCAACTATATTGCTCGAGAATGTTGGCTAGCTGGCAACTACATTAAAAAATCGTGATAAATGTACCAAATTCACCCATAGAAACCCTCAGAAGACATCAAGCAGAACCTACTCTTCTATACGAGTGGAAGATTAACCCCCTGAACAAACCAGTTGGAAAAAACAAATTTTTGAAAATCAGTTTGCCCAAGGTGTTGAGTGAGAAAGGCCAGTCGACAACTAAATTTTCAAAAAATCGTCATAAATTTACAGACTCACCATGACACAACTGTCTGAATGTATAAAGAAAAGTTCGATTAATTGAAAAAGTCGCCAGCTATAGAATATTAGTTGGGAAAAATTAATTTTTGAAAATTTCCGTCGACAACAAATTTTCAAAAAATTGTCATACATTCTCAAAAGCGCAAGTCACGATACAATTATCCATAATACGAAGAATAAATACATACAGATGAGTTTGCTTTATTGAAAACATGAAAAAGTCAGCAGCTACAAAAAACGAGTTGTGCAAAAATACATTTTTGAAATTTTGTGCACCGGTAAATTTTCAAATAACTGTCACATAACACTAAAACCCCCAATCGCCAGTAAACTTTCAGGTTAAATAGAGCAAAGTGCGCTCTATTTAATGACGTCAAAAGCCCCAGCACTAGCAGGTCCCAATTTAGAGAAACAATTTTTTTCATCATCAATCATTAAAAATCCCCAAAAAATCGTTATATTTTACGGGCCAAACAGAAATGTTAACCAGTAGACCCTTCAAAGGACATAAAGACCTTATTTGAGCACATAAAGACGACGAAATTATTTGCTCAAGCTGTCCTGCACAGTGGGCTCAATTTTCTGTTGATAAGAAACTTGAAATACACAAAAGCCTCGCCCTTAGCTGCGCGTCTCTGCTCATGATCGCTAGATAAATAGCAAAATGGACCGGTTTTAGTCTTCTAAACCAAATGCAAATAGCGATTTTATGCGGCTGATTCGATAGTAACTTTGCTATGTAAATGGGCCAAAGTGACCGAACATTGAAGGTCTAGTTTTCGTGCAAACGCTACAGGGGATGGTGCAAGAAAGTTCATGATAGAAATATGATGGTGCCAGTGCTCTACTAAAACGCAAAATATCGCTTAAACTGCGTTCAATCTCCGGAGGAAAATATTTTGCGTTTTTTACAAGCCCTACTGAAATAGTACAATTATTACAAGAAGACAGAAGTAAAAGAGTACGAAATAGTCAAATGGTATTCACCTGCTGGTAGTCCTCGCTTACTTCGGCCGCAGTTTTGCCCGAATTACCCGAAGGAAGCATTCTAGAATACCAGAAAAGGGAAAAGTTAAGGCTGTGGATCTTGATCAAAACGAGGTGTGTCTAAAACAACAGGCATCCACCAAAAAAAATGGACTTTTAGACACACTTCGCATTTGTACACTGGATGTCTGGATCCTCACCTGGAGATTTGCTTATCTGGAAAGCCCATTCCCAGTCCAGAATCTTCACTAGGCGAGCGATAGCCTTCTTCTGGATAAATGCCAGTGGGCAGGCCGTAGTCCTAAAAGGGATTCGCTCTTTTACCTCATCAAACACTTGAAATTCGCTCCCAATTCCTGCTCTTACATAGACTAAACTTAACCATTACCAGATCAGACTAGCAGCTAATTCTACTCAGGTTCACTAAAAACTATTCGAATCTCCTTCGGATACTGTTAAGGGTTCGAAAATTGTACAAACAGCATCAAGCACCACATATGTCTATCAGAAAATCTGCCGTCGAAAAAATCTCATACAGAGTGTTATAAAAGGGGCGTCATTCCTATCAAGGTGTTTGTGGGGGGTTTGACGTTAAAAAAACTACGATAGAAATATAAAAAATAGGATTTTACTCCTGAACGTTTCACAATTTACAACAGGGCCAATTAACCATTGGTCTGCTCAATTTCGCTTCATAACCTCACTTCGCAACATCAGTTTTCATTGTGTATATATAAATTTCAATTTGTCTCTCTGAGTTGCTTATCTATGTCATTCTGCCTCTTCTTAAGTCCTCTATGGTGTCTAAGGACTTTTGCTCGGTAGAGCTAAACCTCTCGTCCGAACTAGAATTATGTTCGGACGGCTTCAGATTTTTTTCTCCAGTTCCAGAACTTTCTGGTTCGCAATTTCTACCTAAATCTCCAGATTTTTTACCAGTTTTCCGCGCCTTTTATCTCTTCCAAACATTTTTTCTCTTGTTTTTGATATCCTCTTTTTTTGCCTTTGAAACTTTCGTTCTTGATATTTTGCCTCGTCTAAGCGCTTTTCTATTGTTGTTATTTCTCCTCTAAAAGCCTGTTCACTTGTTGTTTATACCTTGATTCTTTTTATTTATCCCTTTTCATTTATTCCCAATTTTTTTGTTCTTTAAACCTTCATTTTATTCATCTTTCACCCTTTTTCTCCTGACATTGATACTTTTTTCTAGTTTCTTTTGCCTCGTCTAAGCGCTTTTTCTATTGTTGTTATTTCTCCTCTAAGAGCCTGTTCACTTGTTGTTTATACCTTGATTCTTTTTATTTATCCCTTTTCATTTATTCCCAATTTTTTTGTTCTTTAAACCTTCATTTTATTCATCTTTGACCCTTTTGCTCCTGACATTGATACTTTTTTCTGGTTTTTTTCTTTTCCCAGCGCATTTTCTCTTGTGGTTGATACCTCTTTTCGTGTAATTTTCCCTTTCAAAACGCCTTTTCTTTTGTTCTTGCTACCCTCTTTAGTGTTATTTTTTCTGGTCCAAGTGCCTTTTCTCTTGTTCATGATTTCTTCTCTCTAGCTCTTCAAACATTTTTTTGTTCATCCTTCTCTCCAAAGCGCCTTTCCTTCAGCATACAGCTTAATTTTTGTTCATAATTTTCGTCTGAGCGCCTTATTTTTCTGTTCTTCGCACTTTATTGCTTGTTCTTGCATCGTCTTTCTCGTTCATCGTCCTTTTCTCAGCGCCTTTTCTGCTCTTCTTGATACCCTGTTTCTTGTTGCTCTGTCTTGTTGTTGATACTTGCTTTCTTCTTTTTCAAAACGCCTTTTATGTTCGAACTTTCCACTTTCTGCGTTATTCTGGTCTCTAACTGCCGTTGTTTGGTAGTTAGATTTTCTACCAGTTTTCCGTGCCTTCCACCTCTTCCAGACATCTTTTATCCGGCTATTAATATCGTCTTTTTTTGTTTTTGTTGTTCGCTTTTCCCTTCTTGTTCACGATTTCTTGTGTTTAGTTATTGACAACTTTTTTCATTCACCGTTCACTTCTAAGCGCATTCTCTCCGGTTTTTATGTCTTTTTCCTTCTTGCTCTTTCGCATCTAAGCACGTTTTCTGTTGTGGTTGATACCTTCTTTCTTGTTTTTCAAACCTTCGTTTATGTTCATCTTTATTTCTCAGTGCTCCATATTTTCTTCTATATACGTTTTGTATTGTTGTTATTTTCTTCTAAGCGTCTTTTATTTTGTCGACTCAGTTCTCAATTTTTTTCCTTGTTTCTCCATTCCTTCTGTTCCTGAAACTTTAGTTCTCGTTCTTGACATCTTATTTTTATTCAACTTTCTCTTCTAAGTCTGTTTTCTCTTGTTGTTGATACTTCCTTTCTTCTCATTTTTTCTTTCAAAACTCCAATTCTCTTGTTTTTGTTTCTGCCAATTTCTCGAATTAGATATAAAATGGAATTTAGAATTAACTTAGAATTTCTTCCCTATAGTCCTTGAAGCTTTTTTGTTCTCCTTGTTCGATGTCTATTCCTTCTTACTCTTTCGCTTCAAATTGCGTTTTCAATTGTTCATACCTTCTTTCTTATTTTTGAAATCTTCGATTGTATTTAACTTTCTTTTGGTTTTCATACGTTTCGTCTCGTTGTTCTTTCTCGTTTATACGCCTTTTCCCTTGTCGTTGAGATCTTGTTTCTTGTTAATTTTTCTCTTGTAAGCGCTTTTCCTCTTGCTCTTTATATCTGCTTTCTTGTTCATAAAACCTTCTTTTTCGTTTATTTTTCAGTTCTAAGCCCATTGCCTCCCGTGTTCGATACCGTTTTTCCTTCTTGTCCTTTCTCTTCGAAGCGCGTTTTATCTTCTTGATTCCATCTATCTTGCTTTCAAAACTTTGGTTTCTATTCATCTTTTTTAACGTGCTTTTTTCTTGTTCCTGGCACGTGTTGTCTTGCTCTTTGTCTTCTAAGCGCTTTCTCAGTTGGTTTCATAGCCATTCCCTTGAAGCCACTTTCTCAAAAAAATTTGTCAGAATCACGCATTTTTCACGCAGAATAATTGAATTTTTGTTTGTTTCACATTGTTATACTTTTCAAGTTTTGAAGAGCACAATTTAAAAACTAACCACAAATTCGGGGTGACGCTGACAGGCTTGTCAACAGATATACGCTGGGATGCGTGGTTGCCGTAGTGACTTTTCGTGCAGAAAATGATAGAATTGGGATTTGTCAAAAGCGAAACTTTGTTAAAGCTTAAAGAAGGGGAAAATAGTCCTTACACCGGTTTCGGACCAAATAGTCTTCATCAGTTATGCTCGTGACACAGCCAATAATCCGGAGTTCAGCAGGTTTCGTCAGTTCAGGACACCTTCAAGAGTCAATGTTTTTCATAAATAAACTTAACATTGCCAGTAACTTAAAAATAATGACGCCAAATGTTCTACTCAAGCGTTTTTTATTTTTCCTTAATACCTTCTTTCTTGTTGCTGTTTCTATTTTAAGCGCATTTTCTCTTGTTGTTGATACCCTTTGTCTTGATAATTTTCCTCTTCTAGGCGCCCTTTTTTCTTGTTTTTAAACAGCATTTCGTGCTCATTTTTTTGTTCTAAGCGCTTTCGCAGTTGGTTCCTTAGCCCTTGAAGCCACTTCCTCGCACTTTCTCAAAATAATTTCTCAGAATCACGCATTTTTCATGCAGAATAATTGAATTTTTGTTTGTTTCACATTGTTATACTTTTCAAGTTTTGAAGAGCACAATTTAAAAACTGACCGCAAATTCGGAGTGACGCTGACAGGTTTGTCAACAGATATACGCTTGGATGCGTGGTTGCCGTTGTGATTTCTCGTGCAGAAAATGACAGAATCGGAAATGGAAATTTTGCTAAAGCTTAAAGAAGCGGAAAATAGTATTTACACCGGTTTCGGACCGATTAGCCCTCATCAGTTTTGCTCGTGCCACAGCCAATAACCGGCAGTTCGTTAGTTAAGGACATCTTCAAGGGCCAATGTTTTTTATAAATAAACTGAACTTTC